ACACACACACACACACACACACACATTACAAATAAATGTTTTGCTTTTTAAAAAGAAAATGCATGAATAAATGCTAAAAGAATATAAATCTGAACATGTATGCCTTGACATGGATTTCTGGAATGGCATAACCTCCTCAGTTCCCTTACAGAATCCCAGATGGGAAAATGGGAAACTTCACTCACCAAGATTCCCTCCATGCACTATATTCAGTGTCCCAAAGCCAAATCAATGCTCTTTCAAGTTGTGTTCTGCATTTGTCTCCTCCCCATGCCCTTTATAACTCTAGATACAAGCATAACTGCAAAATTATGTTCCTAAACATCACAGCTACATTGTAGTCTCCTAAAGAAACCTTCTACAGTCCACTACTTTGAGTGCCAGCCCCTCTTTGCATTTCTTCTCCACGTGTTCCCTGTCCTTAACTTTCCACTCACACTTTCATCCCCTAGAGCTGAGTGTTACTGCCACATACTGGATGATGAAGTTTGCCTCCACAGTGTCCTAGTGATATTCCCAACCTCCATTCCCTAGAACTATAAATATTGTCCTACATGGCAAATGAGTGAGTCACATTAAAGATCTTGAAGGAGCAGCTTCTCCTGGATTATACATGTGGGCCCTCATTACAATGACAAGTGTTCTCGTGTGAAAGAATAAAAGGAAAATTTGACACACACACAAAGGAGAAGACACAGGTGAGGAAGTGGCAATGTGACCATGGAGGTAAACACTGGAGTAATGCTGCCACAAGCTAAGGAATGTCAAAGATTGCTGGCAAATATTAGAAGCCAGAAGAAGCAGGGAATGGATTCTCCCCTAGGGCCTTGACAGGGAGTGTGGCTCTGCTGATACCCTGATTTCAGACTTAGGGCTTCCAGAGCAGAGAGAATTCTGTTGGATGAAGCTACTCTGCCATAGTCTGATAAACAGCACCACCTCAGAAACCACTACCACTCCTCCTGCCCCCAACACTGAATGCCCTCCTTACATCAACCCCGCATTCCCCACAATAACAGGACATCTTACCTGGGATGAAAAGAATGGCTCCAACGATGACAATTATAGTGAGCAGCAGTCCAGCAATAAGTAAAAGAATGATTTTCGTACTTGTACAATTGGACTTATATTTAAGTGCTTAAAAAAAAAAAAGAATTACATGAAACAATTTTCAAAGTCATGACTCACAATTCACTATAGCTGAATAACTTCTGAGGAATACCTTCATATTGTCAAGTCACTGCACGTTTCTGATAACCAACAGATAAACGGGTACAAATGTGGATGCTGAATATGTAGGTGATCATTTAGACCCACCAACCCCCTGTGCTTTTAAGTATGAAGATACCAGTACATACATCAAGCTTTCTCAGATAAAGCACTTTTAACCTGTAGGACAATGTACATTTTCATGGGGGGCTGCTCTATGCACTACAGAATATTAAACGCAACCCCTGGACTCGGCATTGCAAGATGCCAGTGATGGCCTGGAAGTTATGTCACAGTGTCTTTAGACACTGCCAATGTCCCCAGATGTCCCCAGAGCAAAATCACCTCAGACCAACAACACAACATTGATACACATTGATGCTGATGGGAAGTAACTGGTTAATTAGCAATACTGAGAAAAAAAGAGAACTAAGGTCCACCTCAGAGAAGATGAAACATCTGGAAATCTGGATGTATTATTTTGAAAAACAGGACAGAATAAACATTGAGCAAATCACACCCTTGTGAAATCCTTATGGAGAAAAATGCCTAAAATTTTCAAGTAAAATACTTTAATAGAAATAACTGGCAAAGACTAAAAAGGATTCATCATATTTATTGTTTCTGATCTTAAATTTACTGTCAAGTACTTGATACCCTCACTGAAAAGAGTCCGACTACTGCCATGAATAAAACTAAAAAATATTTCCTTTACAACCTATTGACCTTTCTGTTTGATTAAAATTAATGTTTCATCAAGAGATTATTAAAGGTAACTTAAAATCTGACTGAGAAGCAAAGATAAAAAGTACAGTGCGAGTGATTGCAATTCTGCTGTGTAGCATCCACATATGGATAGACTCCATGTAAGTAATCACTGGGTGATTGTAGTGAAAGGGAAAATATTTTAAGTATTATAGTTTGCATTTAATTTTCCTCCAGTAAAATGAACAAATATAAATTATAATAAAATCAACAAATGCTTCATAACCTACACGACCATGAAAAATAAAGGTACCTGAAGATTTTTTGCATCTCTACCTATCCACGCTGTAGACAATAAACTCAACTCTAGTCACTGTAGGGGAAGACAGAGGCCTATCTAACAATTACATGTGAGGCCGAGAAGCAGAAATTCCTATGGACTGGAGAAGAGAAATCCACAGTAATCAGAAAGTACTGCTACAAAGTTTTCACTTGGTCTGTTACCTGAATCCAGCCCTGGAACTGGCATAACTACTTCCCACTCATGTCCCTACCTCCTTATGAGGTACAGAAGTTTTACAGCTCCACTATTTTCTAAGCTCAAATCCCACCTAGAATGAAATTCAGTGCATAGGTCGTAATAGGCAGAGATGCAGAAACAGACTTAGGACTCTTTGTACTGAACATTATTTACTAAATAGAGCTTCAAAGTACTGCAAATAAAGTGGTTTCAGATGAACCTCGCAATCAATCCACCATTCGTTAGGAGGCTCTTCAGATTTAATTTTATACATAAAAGATGATAAGATCAAACAACAAGGATTTTGTGTATAGTATATGCTCATGCAAAAAAAGGCTGACATATCATTCTTAAAAATAAGTTTAAATATCATATAAAATTTAAATTCTTTAGGCTCAGAGGAGCTAGTATAGGGAAAAATGCCACCAATAACAAGAATAAAACCCCATAAAATCCTACTATGGCAGTGTGCTACCATGGCATGGGCTTTTCTGATTGAGAATAAGCACGATGTATGTTGCATGTAGCTTTAGTTCCTGTTAGTTGGTTCAATTGCTACTTATTTTCAAGGCCACCTTGAACTTTTCCTTAAATTAAGCAGCCATTTCTAACAAATAGTAGTGAAGTCTGCTTAAGTAATAATGGGCAATGAAAGTGCATCTCCATGCTTTCTTTAGGCAACCTTTATAAAGGTCTCTTTGCTCATTCTCTTTGCTCACAATGCCCATGTAGCAGGTTCCACAGAAAGTGAGGGACAGGTATCTTGTTGCCAGTCCATTTGTCAATTTTCTCAGCTACACTGAGATTGCTGTAAAGCCAAAAAATCTCAGTGGCCTTATTAGTGACTTTTTCCCTGTGTTTTCAGTGGGTTTATTTATTTATCAAATCATTACATATGACAAAGAAAACAAATCCAAATAATAATTTAACAGTGTGCTCTTATCAAACTTTGATATTTTTATAACCGATAAGCAAGACGTTTATGTAATTTAAAAACCTGCACACTTTTAAAGATTCCTCTCAGCTAAAACTATTGAAATCAATATACAAAACATGAGAAATAATACTATTTACATTTTTCACAAAAAACTTAATAATCTTAATATCTGATCAAGACAAAAACAGGAGAAATAACATTCTTATCAACAAATTACGAATTCTAAAATATTCCCTCTTTTATTTCAGAATATATATATGCTATTTAATTTCAGACAATATAAAATAATTCTAGCAGGCTCTGTCTCAGAAAAAAAGTGTTAGGTTAGTACATTTCTTTGTTCTATAAATATTTACTAGGTTTCAGGCCCTTCAGTCAAAATCAAGGGATAGATTACTTTATTCAATAAAAATTGTTTGACTACTATGAACCCATCTGATATTTACTATTCTTTTTTTCTTCTTCTTTGAGGCAGGGTCTCACTTTGTAGTGCAGGCTGGCCCTGTATTCACTAGGTAGCCCAGGCTGCCCTTGAACTCCTGGCAATCCTCCTGCCTCAGCCTCCTGAGTGCTGGGATTACAGGTGTGCGTCACCACACCTGAACGATATTCATAATTCTAAGTGCTAACAAGGCTTATCTTAAGGCCTTTACAAGTGAGCAGGTGAATGTGTATGCTGGAATCAGGGGGTGAAGGGAGATGATATTCCCACTTCTTTCCCAGTTAAATAAAAGGTGTAATTCTCTGCTGGTCTAAGAAAGGTCTTTTTTGTATTAATCTTACAAATCTATGCGAATGAAACAAAAATATGCCTCTAATTTAGCCCGCCTCTGAAAAAAGAAAGCACTAATGTTATGGACACGATTTTCTGATCTCTTTGTGATTGACACAGAGCACATAGACTGCATGTTGTGGCTGATAAAATCTAGTCAAATACCAACTCTGTGTGAGGGTAATATAAAATCTATCACATTAAATTTTCATGGTTAGATTTTATACATCCATATAGGCTTACACAGTCTACCTAACAAAATGCAAACTTTAACCCTTGCTCAAAGCCATGACATTTATAGTCCCCAGCCAAGTGATCAGTGAGTGAGTGCAGGTAAGAAGCTTACCCATGAGAAGAAATGCATATCAGATTAAAATAAATCACAAAGACAAATAATTGATTTAATTTATAATATGCTTTCTGATAACTCTAAGAAAGTTATTTAGAAATATTTTGGTACACTGTTGAGCTGTGAACAAGTCACGTCTTCAATAAGGTACATCAAATTTTAAATTTGAATTTTAAAAATTATTTAAACTACTACTTTAAAATATTTAACACATTCATTTAGAACACACACACACAAGCACACACAAATGAAGGATTTGTAAATCTCCATACACTACCCTGCTTACTGATGGAACAGTTATCAAAATTTATAATAGAGACTAAATATCATACTCCCTATTTATAAAGTGCTCAGGCTTTGTGTGGCAAGTATTTTGACTATAAATAAAGAGGATGTCCAAGAGACTAATTTCCATTGCTTGGTTCTAAATAACTATGAACTATCTAATAACTATCTCATGAAAAGTTTCACAGTTCTAGAGTATATGCAAAAAGTTGGGATGTTTGGATTCGGAAAGGGTCAAAGGAGCAACTGTATTTCCATAAAAGACCAAAATGCTGAGCTATAGTTTTGGTCAGTTCTTCCTACAATAAAATCAGTACATAACCACATGATTTAATAATAGTACGTGGTCATTACTGGACAAGACCAAGGGAAGTTCAACATGATCAAATAGAAATCACATTAAACTTAATAACAAAGTCCTGTTATTAAGGGTCATCAGCCAAGTCACAAAATGACTGCAACATTTATTGGAAAGATATTTTATCTTGTATGATAAAAATTTCCAGTGCAACTTAGAATATGTCCTTACTTTTTTGGAATGATCTTTCCTAATCAATGAAGAAATTCCCTGCATCATTCCTTCTTTTAAATGTGTTTTCATGGCTTACTTTCATTACTAAGCTAGAGTTGAGGACTAAGTTGAAACTTAAAGCTGTTGTGACAGAGAATTTCTTCCCTTGAATTTGCCAATAATGATTTCCATAGGAACACCTATCCAAATACTTATGAGAAGTGACCCAAATTCTTCTGAAATAATTTTCAGGGAGGACAAGAAAGTTAGGAAATGAAAGATGCTCAGAATATATAATTTGAAATAAATTATAGTAGTCCCCATTTTATATGGTTCTGATATGCATGAATATAGTTTAGTTAAATTAAGCAAGAACTCCAAAATATAGTTTAAATTTTAGCTGCACCAATAGATGAACAGAGTACATAAAGTACAAACTTCACCAGTATCATCAATATCACCAGTCTGTCGCTTCTTCTGAAGACCACTGGTGACTGGCCAGTTATTCAGTCAGCACACACACCTAAGTGTGTACTTGTGCTACTCCTTGTCTCCCAGTGACGAAACCACATGGAATATTATAATGGATTATCGAATGAGGAAACTGGGTGAGAAAAATGAAGCAGAGAAGTAAAAAGTGAGAATGCACAATGTGAAATGTGAAGAGACCACAGTGGAGTGGCAGAAGCTGTGACTTACTGTGGCCCTGACACACTGCCACGGGGGCTCCTCAGGATGCAACCAAGCAACAAGTGAAGGTGAACTCATCAGCACAAATGAGGAAAGTAGGAAGGCCCAGGTCATACAAAGGTACCAAAAGAAAAGTCATTCATCAGAAACAGGACTCGCAGGTGAGGGCTCCAAAACCAGAGGTGATATGCACTATCTCAAGCATTTAGCCCAGTGCCCAGCTGTCAATGGTATTTGCAGAATAAATCAACAAATTAGGCAAACCTTCTACTTTAGAATTAACAGTTACATCTACTCAGGGTTTTTAACTACATATAAGTTCATCCTTCAAAGAAAGAAAATTCCTGAAATAAATTCAAGATGGGGATCAGTACAGAGTAGTGGTAAACATAACTGTTCAGATTCCAGTTACTGTCAGAAAACAGATAAATGGAAAAATACTGCCTACATCCAGAGTTACTGAAAGACATAAATGTGATTTGAAGTGTAGAGAACTTAGAACAGTGCCTGTCCTAGAGAACAAGAGCTCTACAAATATTTAGCTACTGTTATCAACACCTTTAAATGTGTGGCAAGGCTGGTGAATCATGACAGAGGTCTCTCTCTCTCTCTCCATATTTCTTTGTTTAACATGAGCCACGGGGCCAGAGATTTTGCTCAATGGTTCTGCTGCCCACTTAAAACAAGCCACAGTAAAAACTTTCCACCAAAATATTTCTTTAGTTCATAGAGATAGGCCTTTAAAAAGGACTAGCCGAAAACAAAAACAAAACCATTTACCTTTAGTAGCACAGAACTGAATATTAAAACATGTGTTTTCACCCAACAAAATAGCAAAGATTTTAGGATGAGGATGATGAGGATGAGGATGATGATGTCAGAAGTGTGAGGTGGAAGACAGGTATTCTCCCCTGCAGTAGTTACTGATACAAAGTTCCTGGAGTACTTTTTAAAAATGGGTATCCAGAGCCTTAAGATATCTCTGCATCTCTGTCTAGACTCACCTATCTTCAACATTTACTTTGATAGTATCAAAACATTTGGAAACAACCTTAATATCAAAATAAGATGAAAGTTAACTGTAGTACACATCTATAAAAGTAGAGCACAGGTAACCATACCAAGATTTTTGAAGACAAAGAGAAAAGATGTACAATTTTATAAGCTGAATGAGCATATCCATAGTTTCATTTTTAATTAAGAAAGACAGAGGGCTGGGGATTTGAATCAGTGGTTCTGCTGCCTGCCTTGCAAGCACAAGGGCCTGAGTTTGACAACCGTTACCACACACACACACACACACACACAGAAAGATAGAGGCAGATATACACACAGGAAGACACAATGCAGCAGGGACAAAGGGAAAGAAGGAAGAAGCAGTCAGAAAGGGAAGTAGAAAATTCAATGGAATACACCAATAGTTTATTTCTAAGCTTTGGAACTGCAACATTTTTTTCCCTATAGAACTTCCTGAACTATACAAGTATTTCAAAGTGTTAGTAGCTGGGCATGGTACTGCATGCCTGTATTCCCAGTATCACTCTAAGAGGCTGAAGCAGGAAAATCACAAGTTTGAGCCCAGCCTGTGCTATATAGAGATTTAGTGAGACTGTGTCTCAAAATCTAAAATAATGGGGGAGGTGGGGGATTTAGCTCAGTGCAATGGCCCTGGGTTCAATATCTAGTACAAAAAAATTGTTACATACAGCCAAGCCCTCTGTATTTATGAGTTCCTTATCTATAGACTCAATCCACTGTGAATTGAAAAATGTTAAAATTATGAACTAAATATTTACACTTTTTTCTTATGATTCCTGGAACAACAGAATATAACAACTATTTACATTGTCAGAGTTACCATAAATAATCCAGAGAGAGATGATTTTATATAAAAGAAGTCCAGCATACATGAACTCCTTTGCTCTCTGTGGAGGTCTCAAAACCAATTCCCCAAGGATATAGACAGACAAACGTACTACCTTTTAATTTAGAAAAAGTAGTAAAAGCTTGTTTTGCAAAAAAAAAAACAAAACAGCTGACAGGGAACAGATTTACGCCTGCTTCATTTCCACTAAAAATAATTTCACTAATAACAATGCCACAGTCAGCAAACTTCTATTAACACAAATTCAACAAATCACACTCATATAATTTCATGATCTCAAAAACTGCCTTTCCCTCTCCACATCACAAAACGTAACCCTTAAAGCTTGGGTCTGCCAATATGGTTAATGCGTTCCCTAACATCAGAGTGATGACAGAGTAGGTCTTTAAGCTGTAACATTTCTTCTCTTGAAATAAAAGGCTTACTGAAATTCTAAGGTAATTTCTAAAGGAAGTCTAGACATTGCCTTGAAGGTAACAGTTGTGAAATGTCTTGACAACTGTCACTGTCAGCCAGCCCTTTGTTCCATTTTCCTTTTAGACTCGAGTTTAGAGCATCTTTGAAATCAGCAAGCATTTCCAGAGTTCTGAACATTAGATAAAGTTCTTAAAATATATAATCTATAATCTCTTCTATTTTTATGCATCACCAAGGATACTCACAGCTTAAACTCTGAGGAAAAGAAAAATTGAGGCTTGTGCTGGGCATTTAGCTCAGAGGTGCCACCGCCTACCTCACCAAGCACAAGGTCCTGAGTTCAATCCCCAGTACAAAAAAAAAAAAAAAAAAAAAAAAAAAAACAACAGGCTGATCTACTACAGTGTTTCACTGGTGTTTGCTTTTCTAACTTATTTTTTTACAGGATAAATTCAGTCAGCATTATATACTCCTTGCTTGTACAGATATTTATTGGGCTGCAGTGATTATTTCAGGGTACTACAGGGAGAGCAAGGATAAATCTTAATATATTAAAAGTTTAGAATGAAACTGAACTTCACTAATTTAGTAAACTTCCTTCAATAAATTGGTATGTAAATGTGGTTGAATATAATCATTAACCACAATGCACATAACCTGTTTACCTTGTAATGACAATTCTCTACTATTGATGGTAAGTCTGATACAGCATCACGATTTGTCCCCCAGAGGTTTGGTTACATGATTATCACAGTAAAGCAAGATCAGAGAACACAGTTCTCCCGTGGCTGCTTCCTTAGGGGCTACAGAACTGTACACCATGGATGACAAAATATGGTGCACATGGGGCTTCTCCAAGGGTGAACACATGTCTATAGGGTCCACACTGGGAGAAGGAAGACAGCAAAATCCTAATGCTCCAGAGTACAACGTTCTTTTGTAACACAATGCAGCCTGTGACTGTTTACCAAATGAAATGGTATGTGTATAAATATTCTCTAAATATGAAAATGCTACATGAGCCGAAATTATTAGTAGTAGTCCTATTAGTCATACTTATGAGATTAAAAGCCACAAAAAAAGGATCTTTACAGGAATTAAAATGAACCACAGAAAAATATAGAGGACAATATCTATTTTAAGGAGACTATTAATATTCAAACTATATTTTATAAATCACAACACTTTCTAACACAATCTAGTTAAATAATTTCAGTACGACTGCCTCCTAGAAGCACCAATTTCATCACTAAAATATACATGAAATATAGAAATAAATACTTACTTAAAATACCAAATTGTCCCCAGAAAAGAAGAATAGCCAAAATTGGGAAAATAACAATGAGAATATTTTCATTTGGAGAAAACCATGAAACTAAGGAAAAAGAAAACAAAAATCACAATTAGTATTTACAATACTCACTTTAAATCATGTTAATGGCCATTAAGTATGTTTTTATTATGCAGATAGAATATAAAAATAAAGTTTCATTTATATACACAATAAGTAAACTAAATTATGCATATTAAAATGACCTTGTATAACAAATTTCATTTAGGAAACAAAAACTACAATTATTTAAGTGTTTTTCACCACATTTCTCTTAACTTATGTTTTACAGAAGCAGCCAAAGCAGCATAGCAGCTGAGAGCAGAGCTCTGCAGCCACACTGCCTGGGTTTGAAACTCAGATCTAACTCGTGATCTGCGCAGCTTTGGCCAATGTCTGAACATGAGTGTTCTTCAGTGTCCTTGATTTTTCATGAGTACATCCCAGAACCTGCCCCTTGAAAGACTGTTGTGACTATTGACCAAGTTAATATATGCAAAGGGCTTGAAACTAAGTTGGCAATTTAACAAGTACTCAGGAAATGTTAACTGTAATTATTCTTCTGTGTGTGTTGGATACCTGTAAGCATAAAGTGCATAGAAGTGACCTTCAGGTAATGATGAAGTGCTCCTGTAAACACTGACTCAGGAGACCTAAGTGAGGGAGCTCTTGTCCACTATGTCCCCTCCCATGACTGTGACTAAAGACCAAGACACACGAGCCGTCTTTCCTCAAACTGACTCTGGAATACTGGACTTATTCTTGAATAGTTAAGACTTTAAAAGAAACCATTTCCATGTAAACATGAGGTGCTTTAAGTTATTAAGGAAGATGTTATTAAGTGAGTCACATATGTTACCTATAAGGTGGAAATATAACTACACCTCCTATAGAAAGGTAATTGAGATATTAAGACTTCAAATAAGATTTTTTGAGAACTTTAAAAAAATTAATTTCAACTGTGTGTCATAAACACTTAAAACTGTAATTTTAGCTCTGAGATTTCTTCTTTAACAATAAAGCTAAGTAAATGCAATGGAAGCATTTCAAAGTTTTGTCTCTTCAGGGGGGATATGCTGTCTGAAGAGCCCTTTTGAGTACTGTCTCAACAAGCACTGCATTCCTCTGAAATTAGCATATGCATTTTAATCCTGCACTGCTCTGCCCCTCAGAATCATCCTGTGAGGAACTTCATGGGGTCACTCCATAATGACAGCCATGCATTTCCTGTATTAAGCTTATAATGTTAAACCCTGATAAAATGCTTACAGTAATCCCCAGAATAAAACATTATAAATTCTATCTTAGTGATATTAGCTTTTCAAAATCTATCATATTACCCCTATCCATAGTAGAGATTTAGTACTTTTGCAGGTGAAGGTTACAATAGCCATAAAAGTTACTGACTAAATGGAACATAATTTTTGATGCTCCTTAGTTGCAGAACTCTTCTAAGAGAAATGTTTTGAGGCATATTGAATAAATCCCTTACTTTTCAACTGGAAAACTGAATGTCATACCAAAGAAAATGCACTTCAATTTCGCATAAAATCCTACCATTAAAAGAAATCTGAGCACTGTACTTAGGCTTTCATATTTAATATCCAAAAGACTTGGTAAAAGCTCTATGACCTAATAACTTTGCTCAGTCAAGTTTACTTTTCCTTACCTATTCCTCTATTAATTTGCTTTGAGTTATCTACCTTAACTCTTAAAATGCTTCTTATAACTGAGGAAATTGAGGCATAGCGAATTAGGCATTATCACCACTTTATATTTTCATTTCTTAAACTCACTCCAGATATTCCCCTCAAGTTTCTGCATATCAGCAATGGTGACTCCATTTCTTGGTGATTCTAAGATGGAAAATCCTTGAAACTATATTTCACTCCTTGGTTTCTCCATTCCACATCTAGATGGACAGCAAATCCTGCCAGCTCTACCTTCAAACAGCAAAAAATCTGATCTGAAGTTCAAAAGGGGCTGACCATGAAATATTCTTTCACTGACCTCTGTCTTTATAAGTAAAACAATCCTATGCTATAATAATATAATGTATTAATAAAAATAAGAGGTACATTCACTGCAAGCTCATCATGAGGAGGGACTCCTTCCCAGTACCTGAACATCCAGCAGGAAACAATGCAGAGGACCTGGAGCTTGAGCGGTGGAAGAGCAGACCCTTGGAGACAGTGAGAAAAGAGGTATTGGGACTGACATGTAGATGGCCACAGAAAGTCAGGGAAGGAGATGCCAAAGAAACAACAAGTCAAGGAGCTAAGTGATGGTCCCTATAGCTAAAATTCAGTGACAGAAGATCATGTGGGAAGGGTTTTCTGAGGTAAGATCATGTTGGGTGTTAGCTACTTGTTAGTAGAGTTTGAATTCTATTTTAAGAACAAGTAAATGGAGGGCTCAAATAGGGGAAAGAAAATGGCCTGACCTATTTAAAATCTCATCAGTTATGTGGTCTATAGATCACAGAGAAGCAGGCGTTTGAAAGCTATGGCAGCAATCATCCTCAGGAGGAGGAGCAGGTGACCAACAAATGCTATGCTGAGTTCAGTTTTTTTTATTCATCATATTTATGACGTCACTGGGAAGAGTTTCAAAGGAAGATGACCAGAATGGGGAATCTGACACCATTTGCGATGGCTTAAAAAATCAGTAATCTTTACTCTACAGAAGAGACTTACTACAGTCTCTTGGGAGAAATACTACAGTCCTCTGTGTGATTGAAAAATTATAGGATAGCAAGTCCTGGCTCAAATGAAGGAAGAACTGGAGATGCCTGATCATAGAATGAGATCTTTGGGAGGTAACAGAGTCTACTGCCATCCTTTAGGTTACAAGTCAGAATGGCCTTGGGGTAACTTCATTTCAGATGGCAAGACAGACTGAGTACTCAGTGACTACAAGATTCTATGGAGAAATAATGAGAAACATAAGATAATATCTCAATGAGATTAAGGTTATACCACAAGAAATATTATTGCTTTAGTGACTCAAGTGGCGCTTATCAATCATCTGGGATTTACTCAAACTTCACAGGCTCTCTGAGCCTCTCATCACCACAGCAAGATTTTTCCCATGTTCCCTTTGGTAACTATGGGGGCAAGGAAGCATACCCATAATTCTCTCAGTTAAAATCACTGTTGTAGATCTCCACTGATGTCTAGTTCCTATCACTGACATAAGTGTGTTACTTTTCTCTCTAATTTGTTATGGTGGAAAAACTTGAGAATCACTGAAGTGGACATCTGAGAACCAACTGAGATGATAAGGGGAAAAAGAACATTTTACATAAACTTGCTTATATGTCCCCTGATTTGTTACAGCTAGTTATTGTCAGGTGAGGTTAACTCTCCTCAAGAAAGCATGAGATAGGATACTTCACTAAGATCCCTTTTAGCTCTGAATTTCTATGGAGCTATGAAAATAACAATAAATTAGACTAAAAAGAGCATATGTTGAAAACAATGTTGAGACTCCATCTCACTTCAGAAAGAATTGCTGCTATGAAGAAATCAACCAACAGCAATGTTGGCAGGGCTGTGGTGTTGGTGGGAGTGTAGACTGGCGCAACCACTGTAGAGGTCAGTTCCTCAAAAAACTAGAATTAGTGGTCCCATTTGACCCAGCTTTTCTTCTTCTGGGTCTCTTCCTGAAAGAAAAGCATTATACCGCAGAGATATATGTGCACTCACGTTTATAGCGCACAGTTTGCAATAGCTAAGTCTCAGAAACAGCCCAAACGCCCATCAATTGGTGACTAAAGATGTGTATTATATATATGAGTACTACTCAGCTATAAAGAAAGGAAAATACATTTACAGCTAAATTGATGCATTTTGAGCCCATACTCTTAAATGAAATAAACTGGACACCCATGTAAATACCGAATAGTTTCTCTGATATGAGAAACTGAAAGTGTAAATTAAGACCAAACTGCATAATGGATATTGTGAAATAGGAAGAAAATGTTCAAAGGACGAGGGGAACAAGGGTGGAAAGGTAGGGGAAAGGGAAGAAGGGAAAGAAAAAAATGAAAAAAAAAGATGGAAAAAATGTAACAGCTTTTGTAAATAGGAAGCGGTGGAGGGGTTGAAGGGAGGGCTGGGGAATGGGAAAAAATAAGAACCAAGATATACCATGTACAGCTACAAATTCCTAATAATGAATGTGTTCATAATGTTATATCTAAAATGTACCAATAAACTTAATAAGCAACAACATAAAAAAATAAAAAGATAAAAAGGGCATCTGATATCTTTCCACCTCAGGATTAAGAAAAATAATCCAAGGGCGTTAACACTCATTCCGCTGAAGCCATGTCTGACAATTCTCTATCACACTCCTCCTCCAGTGAGCTACATGCTGTCCTTGAACTGATATTTTTAAATAAAATCCTAATAGCTTACATGCTTAGTATAAATTTTAAGCTTCCAAGCATAGCAATAATAAGTATTTTTATTAATACCATTATTTACTGTTAGTATTTGATCATTTACAGGATGATCATACTACATCATCAGAAACTACATACTATGATAGTTTTCAAACCAGAGAGGTCTAGGTTAAAACCCTCTGACCTTAAATAAACATCTTCAATTTATTTTGCTTCCCCATGCATTAAATGATAAGAACTGCATGGATATCCTAGAGCATTTAGAACATAGGACATGACACACATTAGGCATCTGGCATAAATGTAAGATCATTTTCCTTTTCCTACACTGTAATCACTTCTTTGGACTCATGGATAATATCTTAGTCATCACTGAATCCAGTGCCTTGAACAGTGCTTGATACATTTAAGGACCTCAGTACATCTTTTTTGGGGGCAGGGGGTTGTTTTGTTTTTTGAGACAGGGTATCACTATGTAGTTGAGACTGACTTGGAACTATGTAGCCCACGATGGTCTCAACTCACAGTGATCCTCCTGCCTCAGCCTCCCGAGTTCTGGGGATTACAGGCGTGCGCCACCAGGCCTGCTACACTCAGTAAATCTTTAAGAGAAAACACTATCTTATTTATGACTCTAACATTCCTGTGACATGATTGTATCCTCTCTTTACTTACAAAAAAATTAAGAACCAGATAAATTTTCTTATCCATGTTTCATAAGCTAGAAAACACCCTTCTAAATTCAAGTCCCATACTTTTTCCATAGTACTATACTCATAAAATGGGTATGCATATCAAACCATGTGTTATAGTGTTTCTGTGTATTCAGCTCTAAAGAAGGGTACAAGTGGTCACCATCACTTACATTCTATTAAGTGGAATTCAATTCTCTATTGAACATTTTCTATATCTCATTTATCCTACATTTACAAAAACATATATATATATGCTTGGTGTCCACTGCTTAAATCCCCAGTCTATGTGATGGGCTAATATCATTATTATAATAAATATGTATTCCACAATAACAGTCCTATTTCATTCAATCTTTTTATTCACAGGAATACTCTATTGTTTCTTTTTTTTCCCCCAGCCAAAAATGGTTACAAAGTAGTGACACCAGATCACTGCAAGATATGGAGCTACCCTGGAAAACTTTGCAGTTTCTTCAAAAACTAAGCATACACTTATGATATAACCCAGTCAAATGATACCAGAGAATGGTAAGTTTATCTAAGAACCTCACTTGGGATTTAGCTCAGTGGTGCCGCCACCTGCCTCACAAGAACAAGGTCCTGAGTTCAATCCCCAGGGCCAAAAAGAGCCCAACAACAACAACAACAACAACAACAACAACAACAACAACAACAAAAAACCCTCTCATTTAGGGCCAAGGTTTTAGCTTAGTGGTTTAGCCTCACAAGTGCAAGGCAATGTATAAAAACAAACAAATAGCTTCACATCCAACAACTTGGGCACTAAATGAAACAGTCCACCTCAAAAGGTCACCTATTGCCTGATTTAGTTTATATAGCATTATTGAAACGACAAAACTTAGGACAAGAAATACAAATCAGTGCTTTCCAGGTTAGGAACAGCTGGAGATGGGGTTTGTGACTATGAGGGAGATGTTTGTATTGATGGAATAGTCTGTATCCTGGTTGCATTGATAGTTCCACAAATACACATGGTGAAATGATAGAGAATCATTCTAAAACACTAGACCATTATGAAATCCTTGATCTTGAAACTCTACTATGGTCATATGACATGTAAACACTGGGAGACAGGGGAGGAAGGGCACAAAAATCCATCTTTGAATCCTCCTGTAAATTAGTAATTATTTCAAAAAAAATAAAAACTGAGTACAAACCCAAATGTATCAAGCCTTTGGTATAATTTTTTTTCATTCACTATAACAAAATAATACTTTCTCATTTTAATGGCCCCCAAAATAAGACTATCTCACATTTCTATAGAGATTTTAAAAACAAAGGAACATAAAGCAATCACACACAAAATTATAAACTTTGTCTTCATCTCAGAAACTGTATTACTTTCCCTTTCATCTTCATTGCATCTTCTGTCCTTTTAAGTTTCATATCTTACATTTATCAATTTTTCTCTCAGTGACCTACATTACATCCAAAATTACTGCTCCCCATGGTTGGTTCTCTCATTCCCACAAAATTATACATTCCCTTGGAAAAATCTTCATTAGGCATTAGATTCTCTCCCTCCAGTCACTCACAGTGCACATGACTAATTAGAACACTCCCAAAATATGCACACTTAAAAAGGAAGCTCCTTAGCCCCAATTAATAGCAATGGGAAATAATTATAAAGTGAGATTTCTGAACTACCCTCCTATTCCTCCTTGCACACTAATTCACAACACTCTAGGCAGGTTTTAGCAACTGGTTATCTCAGAAAATAAACATCCTGGGAAAACAAGTAACATCTGCAACACACGAGAGTTTTCAGAGACCTATACATGGATTCTCATTTGATGTTGATTAGAGTCTACAGAACACCTGAGAGCAAGTATGTATTTTTCATCCCCACTTTAGGGATGAGGCAACTCGGACTCAGTGAAGTAAAATCTCAAAAATCAAATAAATGAATAGTAAGCTGATAAACAAGAGTATGTAATTAAGGTCTACTGATGCCAAATCTTAAACAATGTCAAAATATTTCATCAAACTAAACACCTATTCCCAATTTGGTAACATAAATTTTATAACAGGAAAAGCTGGAAGAAAGGAAGGGAACTAGTTAAATCAACTGAACTTTCATCCTATCTAGAACCGAGGTTCTCAAAGTCTAGCCAATGACAAGGCCAGTAATATGCCTGGTGATTCAAAACAGAAAGTTAGAATGACTTTCACTGTGGTTAATTAAATCCTTTAGCACAGTAAGAAACAGAAAAGGAGACTGTTTACTTGGGCGCAACTCACCAACCCAAGTCTCTCAAGGTAGGGCAAGTCACGGCACTATACACAGGCCTGAATTCAATTTAGCTAGGCTGGATCCTGAGTTCCCTCACATTCTCCCCAAGGAAAAGAACAAGAAAAAGCAAGGAAAAGAAAGAAAAAAATACAGAAAATCTCCAGGAATCATCCATGATAACCTGATATTTAATCTCCTGATTCTTTTCCTTTCTTTGCTGGGGGAACACGGTTGGTTTTTGCCAAATGTTGGCCAAAGTAGATTACAAACCAAAACTAAACAAATAATAATAGGTTAAGTAATTAGAAACAAGCTCAGAAATTAATCCCATTAAATAAACACTTTTGCAGAGAGAAATGTAAAATAGTTGACCTCAGCATCAGTCACTCAAACAGAATACCGTAGTCCTCAGACTGAGAGTTTAAGAGCCACACAATATTCAAATGGACAAACAGCAATGACTTTTACTGCAATTAGGCAAAGAAATAAAAGTTATGATCTTAAATCTGCTAAATATTATATCAACATTTATTATTATTGCCTGATTTTTTTTAGCTCAAAGGAATTCCTAGTCCTATCTGCCCACTACCTAATATGGTTGGGTATAGCAGGGGAAAAAAGGCATTTTGTATAGAAGTTTTACTCCCTACTCTGTTTTCTGTAGCTATCACAGAATACCTGAGACTGGGTATTCTATAAAGAAAATAATTTTATTTCACTTTACGTGTTTATGGCTGAGAAGCCTAAGAGCATGGTGTCAGCATCTGCTTGGCTTCTTGTGAGGACCTTACATTGTTACATAACAGGGTGGAAGGATGGAATGGAAAGTGAATATGTTTGAGAGAGCAAAAGCATGAGGAGCTTTATAACAGCCTACTCTCTGCATAACTAACCCACTCCCTTAAGAAAGCCCATAATCCTTCTTACTGACTTAATCGCTCATTAAAGGTGCCACTTCCCAACACCCCACAATGGCAATCAAGTTCCAACATGAGTTTCAAAGGACACAGACTACATTCAAACTACAACACTTACCCATACGATACTTTACTTCTATGATTGTTTCTCCTTCTCTGCTTAATTCTGTTACTTCACATGTGTAGTTTCCTACTTTCACATCATCCTTACTCATCTTCAAAGAGGCATCCCCTTTTAGTAACTTTGAGACTGCGATTTTTGCACTCGAAAAGTTCAGGTTTGCAGTAGAAATGTTTTTATTTCCATCATAGATGAAAATATATGTTCCATTAAATTTCCACTTTACATACATTTCCTTTGTGCTTTGTGCGCCAACATTAATAACAAAGCATGGGATGACAACAGTTTCATTACAAATGGTGTATTCTACTAATTTGGTCTTATTTAACAGGAGTTGAGCTGAACCTAGAAAAGAAAAATATTTACTTAGTTATAAAAGTGAATGCTATACATCTTAGGTATGTTATAAAACCTTAAGTTGTAGAAAAATGCTTGACTCATTCATTTACAAGCAGTAAGTAATGGAGAAGACCAGGTAAGTGAATAACAGAAAAAAAAAAAACCAAAAACATATTTTACTATTTACTTGCACAGCTGAGAGACAACAGTATAACTTTCTTTTAATCATTTAGAATAACACAGAAGATACATTACCATCATTACCATAAAACTTGGAAATGAGTTCAGTGATTGTGTTGGAACATGTGGGTAGAGTATGCAGATACCGAAAGTTTTGAAGAAATCATTTCAACCTAGTGTTATATGTAGAAAAATATTGTCCTTAACATGGCAAAATTTTGAACAGAAAGTCAAACCAAATATTATATTCAGTCTCAACTTTTATACGTTTCCAAATAGAATGTGCTAAACTGATACAAAATTATCTCCACCCTTGTGCAGCATTTCTAAAAAAAAGTGGCTGGTTTTATTGCGCTTTAATATACAAAGTAAATCGGATGACTCAAATCCTATCTTTCTACTAGGATGGAAAGTCTGAGAATAACAATAAGAAAAACATTTTCTGTGGCTATTTTTCCATTATAAAATATAGACAGCAATAGATATTTTGCATGAAACTCTTACAAAGGATTACATACAACTAAATGGCATTTTCCCACCCCCACATTTCATTTTTATCTACAGAACAACAATTTCCAAATGTATACTACAGGTATTTCTTCTTCTAAGAAACCATAAGCCACTCAAAAAGCTAAGAAACCATTGAAAGCCAGAGCAGACACTGCTAACACATAGGGTATATTCTCTCAACTGTTCTCACTGATATAAAGTACAATTAGCTACAATGCACAAGCTAATTAATGCACAGTTAATGCACAATTAATGCAATGCACAGCACTAATTACGTGAATGCAAGCATTCACCATTAAACTAAACTGTATGTGGATACAGAGAAACAGAATTTGTCTTCCACAATCTTCGCCCATTTATCAACTCTTTTATCTAAGTAGACAGTAGTCAACTTTCCCCTCAAAAGTAAGAGCAGCAACAAATATAAATAAAATATCAGGTCTGCTAACAGTTCATCTTTAAGGTTTCTTCCATCTATATTAGTTGGAATAAAGAAATTAATCACATGAGATGGTATTATTCTTAGAACATAATTATTCAATAAATACCTACTGAATTGAATACAAGGATTTGGGTGTTCAAAAATTTGAGTACCTTTTGCTATTCAACCTTAAGAGCTCACTTTGCCTTGCTTTGGTTTATTCTCTAAATAAGAGGATCAAATATGATCACTGAGTAACGTCATAGCATTGTGGTAAGCATCACAAGGAGAAAATATATAAGGAATGCTTCCTAAACAACCATGTATTATAAAAATATAGGCTCCTGTTATAAAAACTAGACCATGTAGCATTTAAATGTAATAACCTGGGCCTCCGCTACCTGCTTTAAATGGTTATACTTCTGCGAATCTGCCATCTGAACTAGGTTTGTGGGCATCTTCACCTCTTCTCAGTTCTCTACATTTCTACCCAAATATTAGGGAGCCCCAGGCAAAACCTGGACTTCCAAATGCATTCTTTAAAACCTGGGAGTTGTGAATTATTTCCCCTGAGAGAGGAGCACTAAGGGGGAGAAACTACAGTGAACAAGGATTGGAACAAAGGAGTGCTGACATTAGAAATACAAAGGAAGGCAAGTGTCACAGAAAAGCATGATTCTGATGGATTCTGGTATCCTGTGACAGAGTGCTAAGCACTAACATATTCTCTGGATTATCTGTGCCTGCTCCTGACTGGCTTATTTTTACAATTTTATAAATTGTGTACAACTGATGATAATGCAAATGATTGGTGTCCAAAGAAATACAAATAAATTTTGTTTTTGCTACTTCCATCTGGAGGGAGACAGTATTAAAAAAAAATCATATCCTACTGACTCGAGTGCATCGACCAATTTTGCATCTACTAGCAAAATCATTTCAACATTCCTGCTTGCCTAAAATTTGTCCGCCTTTCCAATTTTCCTTTAATTGGATTTTGCCTTCATGCTGGTTTGCTCTTTAATTAGTGAGTGAAATAAAAATTTTGACATGTGTCCATTTTATATTTGTATGAGTCATTCAAAAATTATATTTATGTGTTAACAATTTTTCTTTAGTTAAAAGATTCAAGCGACCAAGACCTGTCATGTAAAGGTACAAGATCCCAATGATGAATGTAACTGTACTGTATACCTAAAATGTACCAATAAACTCAATGAGGAAAAAAAAAAGATTCAAGTGAGAAGTTCTTATAAATCTTACAAAATTTCTAAGGCTCTAGATAAGTGATTAGAAAAACTTCGTAATTTCATAATTTACATTCAGAAAGTAAATTTTCTGCAGAATACAGAAAGCACTAATTTTACTGCATTATTTCTTTTAATAAAAACATTTCATAACATAAGCAATTTAATTAGAATAAATGCTTGCAGTAGAATTTAAAATAAAACTGATTCAGATAATCTATGATTTGAATAACCTTTGCACTAACAGTAAAGAAAGGTGGTCCTAAAAAGATCACCCAAGATGTTAATTATAACCCCATCCTCTGTAAATATGTATAAAAAACTAGTAAGAGGTAAAATTATCTGATCTGGGCCTTTTCTCTTTTGTCTGTTGCCTTCTGATGAAAGAGTAAAGTGAATAAAAGATGGAAAATATAAGAGCAAATACAGGAACATAAATAACATGAAATAACATGAAATAACAAAACAAGATATGTCAATCTAAATCAGCTGTTAGATGAATTTAACCAAGAGGAATGCCAGACCTACAGATAAATTAGCAAATGAAACAGGAAAAAATTATATCATATGCCAACACTATTATTGGACCTTGCAACTTCTATGAAAACAGACCACCAACAAAACCATCTCAGATGAAAGTCCTGACAACAGTCAGGTAAGCAGGAAGGAGGCCCGCCTGGTCCCTGAAGTCAGGGCACACAAGGCCAGCTCAGAAATTTTAAATATGCAACACAAGTTAGGAATTAACTTGATAGAAAACACTGTGATAAGACAATGGGATGAAATGACAAAAATATAGTAATTATCTTTAGGAGGAGCTTACAATTTTCATATAGAGTATGACAAGTAGTTCATATACTACAAGGGCATAAGTGTATGAAAAAGTGCATGGGTAGAAGAGTAATTGGTTTTACAGATTCTGAATAAAATACATGTAGCTGTTAGGGAATAACAGAAGATTGTCATAGTTCCTACCCAGCTTTAACTTTTTATCTTTTCACAAGTTCCATTAAAATTTCCTCTCCTTTTAAAAAGCTATTAAACCCCTCTCCCTTTGCCACTTATCCCATACTCTCCAAAAAGTCTTCTCTCCCTAAATTTAAATTGAGTCCTTCGCTTCCCTCCTACAAACTTACCTGCAACCTATCCACATCTTTTCCTCCCACTCCCTTTTTCAAAGATGAATCCCTTCACTTCAAAGTTAGTTTCCATTTCTGCTGCCAACCCATCTATCGCAAGCACTTTTGAAAACTGATTATCATTTTCCACATCCCCTTGTTCCATTTGTGAGGCATTTCTAAAAAGTCTCTTTAAAATTCTTGATCATTGATCAACTTTAAAAAATTCCACGTGCTAGTTTCTTTCCTTACACCCTCAGGTAACTGTCTCTTCTTCAACAGCAGTGCACTCCTTCAATCTCTGTACCTGGCCTCCACCCACTTCCCCTATTACTTCACCACTCGAGCTCTGGGCCAAATCACCAAAAATGCCTTGTAAAAAACCAATGTGCATGACCTGACGCTTCCACAGTTCTTGGATCAAAAGGCAGCTCCCTTTCCTATCTTATTCTTGTTCCTTGGCCTCTATGGTTGTGCTGGATGAGGAATTTCCTCCTTCTTTTCCACTTCCCTCTCCAGCTTGCTTTCTTGTAGTCTGTTCCTTAGCTCCTATTCAATGTATGTTCCGAAGGGCTTCATAGTCAGCAACCTGTGACCAAGTAGTCTTCTATCCCACGGTGTTAACTATTTGTGCACTGTTTCAATTGCTGAACCATGCCCCATCTTCTAAACTGCAGACCTTGGATAATCAACTGTGTGTTGTGCAGTACTAAGGCAACTTCAAAGTCAAAACGTCCAAAAGCTACTCCGCAGAAGCCAGGAGATAGAAGTTAAAACAGGTCCTGTATCGTTAACCTTAAGTAAACCCAAAGTTAGGGCTTAAATTGTAAGACTTGATTGAATAGGCTAAAGTGACTCCATGCTAATAGGCCAGACTGTGCTTCTTCATATGCTAATTGCTACCTTGGTTAACAGCCCACCCAGGGGCAAATGGTTTGACAAAAGGTTACCATAGAACATTTCCTGCATAAGATAAGCAATGTGTTTGCAGTCTTGTTCTGTGAATTCCCTGACTCTTTGTTTAGAAAAACCTTATAAAAAGTACCTCAGCCCCTGAGCAGTTGCCTCTCTGAGCCACCTGGCTCTGGGAGTGCCATCTGGCCAGACTAATAAAGGTCTCTTTACCATCTAGCCTGGTGTGTTCCTTCCTGGGTTTCTCGTTCTCCGTCGAGCTCCCGGAGCCTCGCTGGGTGTTAGGGCCCAGCATCGTGGAGGCCTTTTTGGCTGTTCACGCTCCGTGGAGTGGAAGTGAGACTTAAGGTCTTACAAAGTGAGCTGGCAAAGAGCCCAACTAATTAAACTTTCCAAAAGAATTAAAAGAATCATATCACAGAGATCTATGTGCACCTATGTTTATAGCGGCACAATTGGTAACAGCTAAAACTTGGAAACAGCCCATTTGCCCATCAGTTGGAAACTGGATAAAGATGTGGTTTTTCTATAAAATGGAATATTACTTAGCCATAAAGAATGAGAAATTAGATTCATTCATAGGAAAATGGATACATATTGAGGATATACTCCTAAGTGAAATAAACGTGTAAATACCAAATAGTTTGTCTGGTGTGAATAAACTATAATAGTACATAAGATCCTAATGATATAAATGACAATGTGAAATAGGAAGAAAAGGGCTAAAGGTGTAGGGAAATTGGGAAGGGTAGGGAAAAGCTAATAAGGGAAAAGAAAAAAATATGAGAAAATGAAAAAATGGAAATGAAGTGTTTGTAAAGGAGAGGGGAGGAGAGGTGAAGGGAAGGCAGGGAAAAGGGGAAAAAATGAGAACCAAGACCTGTCATGTAAAGGTGCAATGAACTCAATGAGGAAAAAAAAAAAGGAAACTGACTATCAAAGGAATGCAGGGGACAAAGAACCAGTTCCTAAAAAAGGGAGAGTAGCCCTGGAGGAAGTGAAATGCAAATGAAACAGCCAAAGTTTTCCCTGTCTGAGGCCTACCAGTAAGCAGGAGCATCCCTGCCTTCTTGTTCCTACACCAAAAACTGGGCTGGTTACAATACCATTCTTTCAAATCCTTACCTCCCTATTCTATTTTGTATTATCTATCAGTCACCAGATTTGGGCCCAGGAATCATGCTGGATTCTTCCCTCTTTTTAGTCATGGAGAATTCTTGGTAGGCTCAACCTATGAAATAGTTCCTATACCCACTATGTTGAATGAATGAATGATAACACAGATTCATCCATTCTCCCTTCAACTCTTGCTATGCCACACCCTCCTACTGGTAACTGGTTCCCTGCTTCCATCTTCAACATTCCTCCAGCCCCAGTATCTTTTCCACAGTTCCCAAAATAACTGTTCTAAATGCAAACGCGCACTCCTTTCACTAATATATTTTAACACCCTCCCAGCTTCTTAGCTAAATTCTAAGTGCATCAGCACGGAATAAAAAAGGTCCTTCAAGATCCTTTCCAGCCTCACCTCCTGTACTTTCTCATCTCCCAACTAAGCCTGCCCAACCATAACCTTTCCGTGCAATGAATATGCAAATGTACTCTCAGCTCCAGGCCTTAGCACAAGCTGTTCCTCAACATATACAGGTCTTTAACCTTCCTGAGGATATAGAGTATGTGGTATTTAAAAGTACACTCTCTGGAGTGGGATCCTGGTTCAAAACTCAGTTCAAGCACTTCAGAGTTGTTGAACTTCATGCTACTTACTTCGCCTCTGTACCTTAGTATCTTCACCTACAAAATGTGAACCATAATGGAATCTAATGCAGAAATTTTGTTAAGATTTCACATACAGAGAAGTGCTTAACAGACTGGCAGCTATAGTCTGCTAATTTTTGCTCTTCCTGCCAAAGTCCCATTGAAATGTTCATTCCTGTCCTCCCTTCCTTACAACCATCCAACTGTGTCTGTCCCATTTTTACTGTTCTCATTGCCCCTTGTCCAAGAGCTGTCACTGCACCTACTACAAAATATTATAATTACTGTCCTATCTCTTCATTAATCTCAGAAGACAGGACAATGTCTTCATGTGGTAGCATAAGGATCATACCAAGTGTCCTCAAAGTATGATATATTCTTTATGCAGATAAAGAATATGAAGTATAAATTTCAAGAAAGGAAAATTTAAAGGTCATATGGGAGAGGATTCACTCTGATATTTTGACAGAATTCTCCACTGCATCTCACTTCTAGAGATCCACTTATGGAATCATGAAGCTACATACTTAATGGAAAAGCTCATGTCAGTTACATACTTAGGTTCCACCAAAAAAAAAAAAGAGATAAACATATCTAAGGAGGATCTTCTTAAGAGTAATATTAAAACTAGGTTTTAAAGGATTAATAGAGTGTTACAGGAAACAACATGCTTTCTAGGTAGAATAACATGTTTAAAAGGAATAAAGAAAATGAAAATGAAAGCAGATCATTTTTCAGGTGGTATCTAGAAAATGAGGTTAGAAAACTAGTTAAGAAAAATTGTAAATATTTCCTTGAATGTCATAAGATGCTTAGGCTTGATAACACAAGCAATGGCAAAACACTTAAGATTTTATTCATTAAAAAGTAACATTCATAGCAGTATGAAAGGTGGACCAAGGGCAGGAATGAAGAGAAGAAAGGCCCACTGAGAGCTTACTGAAACATGCCAAGTAAACAAGTGGAGAGAGGGCCTAAAAATGGCAGTAAAAATCAAAGAAGTAAAAATCAACAAAATTGAAATGTAAGAGGTGAAGCAGACAAAAAAGAAAAAATTAAAATGTTTACCAAAATAGTATGTGGAACTTTATAGTCAGATTGTAAATGAATTATAAAAAGAGAGGCTTGTCGATTTGGGGAGAATATCCGTTGAATATTTAATAGTCTCAACATTAAAGTACCTATGGTACAATGAAGTGGAGATGTCCTAGATCTCTAGATAAGTGATTCTGGATTTAAGCAGAAAGCTCAGAGTTCCCTTAACTTGGGAATCCCCAAAAATGTACCTGGTAATTGAAATCACGAGCATAGAGAAGATTAACCAGAGTCTCTGAAAAGCAAATAAAGAAGATAGCAGAGAATAAAATCTTGGGGAACACCAATATTTATGTAGCAAATGGTAACAACAGTGAATTGTAAGAAGCAAGGAAGTGAAAATAAGAAGTGATAGAAGGGAGGCAAAAAATACCATGTAGATATCAAGGAAGAATTTCATATGGATAAAATACATGTTAAGTGGGATAACAAAATGGTCTCTCAAATGAAATTTTAAATCAGATAAAGATGCATGTGAGAAGTGAATGAGTGGGGAAAAAGCAATAGTGATTCTCTTTCAGTAAATCTGCCATAGTAATAAAACATAGAGAAAGGCAAGCAACTCAGAACAGAGACAGGGATAAACAAAGGCAAGGGTATTTTAGTTCTTGGATTGCTTTTCTTCTCTAATACTGGGTAAAACTTGATCATAGGTGCAAGATAAGGGGAAGGGGTCAATGGAGAGGGCAAGATCTAGGATGCAAGAAGGAAGAATTAAACTGACTGAGCAGGTCTCCAGGATGGTAGAAGTCAGAGTAGTACACAGGCTGCCTTTCCCCTGGAAAGGGGAAAAGGGATTCTTCTGACACTTGGTGAGAAGACAATGACAAGAAGGTCATCTGAGACATCATAGGTTATCTTAGTAATGGTGGGAAGGCAGCTGAGGGACCAAAGCACTCACCATTACTGTTTGCAATGGAGTAGGAAGTTATCTGTTCAGAAGGAATGTTCAAGAATGGGCTGAGAAGCCCCAGAAGCTGCTAAGGTAAATGAAGCAAAGATCGTGAGTAAAGATATCTGCCAAAAATGAATCCTACCAATTTCCCCTCAGAACTAGCCACTGGCATGAAGAACAGGAATCTCACACTGAGTAGGGTTAGGGACAGACAGGAGGATCTGGTCGCACCTCTTCTTGGTGGAGACTAAAATAAAGGTATGGGGTAGAGTGGCGAGTCCACAGTGACTTAATCCTGACTCAAAGTAATCCCTGCACAGGATTTTTCAAAATGACATCCAGAATTATAGCCTTATCAAGAATTTCAAATACATTAAATACCACTGAGGGATAAAAACAAACAAAAAATCCCCACTTTCTATAAACTTCATTGTAAATTATTAAAATGTATACAGTCTGGGGCTGGGGATTTAGCTCAGTGGTTCCGGCACCTGCTTCACAAGCTCAAGGACCGAGTTCAATCCCCAGTACTGCCCAAACAGAATTATAGCCTTATCAAGAATTTCAAATACATTAAATACCACTGAGGGATAAAAACAAACAAAAAATCCCCACTTTCTATAAACTTCATTGTAAATTATTAAAATGTATACAGTCTGGGGCTGGGGATTTAGCTCAGTGGTTCCGGCACCTGCTTCACAAGCTCAAGGACCGAGTTCAATCCCCAGTACTGCCCAAAAAAGAGGGAAGTTGTATACAGTCTGAAATTTGTCTATATGTCCAAGAGCTTAGCAAAGCTTTAGTGTAACATGGCTTCATGATTGCATAAAGTGAAAAACAAACAACAACAAAAACTTATTTGATAGACCATGAACTTGCCAAAGCACGTGCTTTGTCTTTTAGCCTATGGGTGTGACATTAATTTTCCCAATCTAAATCTCAAATCTTGGGATTGACTAGATTCTGAATCTTGTGCAACTGGTCCATGGATATGGAATGAAATATTCAGTGGAGGGTGGAGCTTCAAATTCCTGTTTCAACTCCATTTAACCACAAGGGGGGAAAATGTAGTTTCTGTGGACTTAGTCTAGCTATACTGTATCAGAATTTAATTTCCTGTGTGCTTTATTTTATTTTTTACTTCAGTACCACAATGAGTTAATAATTCATACACTATTATTCTTTTATCACAGACTATCTGCACGAGTACACAAACTAAAAGTAACTTTATGATAACCCAAGGGTGCACTATATTAGGCTGAAACATAAGACATGAAAACAGAAATTTGTACCTTGTATAAAAAGCTACGACAGCAAAAACCTAAAAGATGAAGACAGGTAAAATGGTTCTCTGAAAATTATGCTGTAAAAAGAACATGACCATACCAAAAACAATCCCTTTACTATAACTGAATTCACAGTAAGGAATGCAACCTTAGTTTTTATAAAATAAGTGATTATTTTAGATTTAGAGGGGAGCACCTATTTTTCACCTTTAGAACCTAGCCTTACAACTCTCCATTAACTCAGTGGCAAAGATAAGACATCTGCCAAAACAGAAGACAGCATGAGCAAGTGTCCTCATGGTGGGCCATTCAGGAAATGCTTTAGCATGCTGATTCTGGAGTTGCTGGGGTGATGCCATGAATAACGACTTTCCAGTAGACATTTACTTCCTTAAAGTGGCAATTTGTGTATAAAAATAATATACTCTAGGAGAAAGAAAACATTTTCATTTAAATGATGCAAATTGAAGTACTATGAGACTTAGACAATGAAATTTAAAAAAATTTTTAATTATGTGCATTCCTGATTTTAAAGTCACTTACAACAAATTAAAAAAATCATTCGATAATCAAAATGATCCTTTATATATATCACTGACATTATTTATTTAAGATCGTATTTACTAGTCTGTGAACACTCCTGAAACGATGTTTGGACATACTGGGGGCATTACAGTGGGTTGCACTCTGCCATTAATTGGCTGAAAGAGTTATTCCAGTTAACGTCTTCTAGGTCAAATGTCACTGAAAGTGTATATAGGTTACTGAAAAATGGCCCTAAGGACTAGTTTGGTTATATATGAAACTGAAAGTAAAATCAAATTTCAGTAAAAATGAACATACAAATCTAGGATTTTCTTACATTAGCTTCTCAATTCAGTCTCTTAAATCTCTTGGATTATAATTACTTGTGGTCCGAGATTGTTAACATGTTGTGATGTTCTTTTGAAACATTATATAAACACAAAAATTCATTTTACCTTAGCACAAACACTATTAGTTCTTGTTTTATATTAAACATCTTAATCCAAAAGTATGCTGCCAGTATTTTGTTTTTTCATGCGAATATTAGTAAGTACAATAAAATACTACAAATTCTGAATTTTACCACTGCAGGGATTTCAATGCATTAATATAGTATGAAAATGACTGTTAATTAAACAAGATCTTAATTATAAGAAGACCTAACAGAAAAAAAGACCTAACAGAATTTCTACCTCCCAAAATGATTCCAACAGTTCTTTTTAATCTAGTTGAAAATAGGACCGTTTTAAAAATAAGACATGGTTTGCACTTTTGTACTCTTCAAACAAGCTTTGATGTCAACAGTAACATATTACAAATTTATACATAGTTCAATGTGAATACAAGAAGTATCTGAAACCACAATGATTTTCAGGCATAATGATATCAATGTCAAAAAGCAAACTAAAGGTTATAAGAGGAAACACCTAATATCAACTATTTAAATAACAGTGATCTTGATTATTAACAGCTGCTAACATCCAGGATGCTTGGGGAGGGGAAATGGTGAACAGAAGTTTGAGACATCTCCAAAACACAAGCCCTTATAATGTAGCACACTAAGGTTAATAATCAGTTTTAAATGGATTAATTTAACTTCTGGATAAATTTAACAATTGCTGTTACTCCTACTTAAACTCAAATTTTAAATCGTGCAAAAAGTTCACAAAAGGCTGTAGAGATATGATGTGTGACAGTCACGGTACAGCCACGAAAATTCCCATTTTGCCTGTTTTTACAAGGAAGTACACGTTTTTGTTTTTGTTTTTTTAAAGAAATGAATTCTGAAAGCATGTGGGTGAGGGGTGGCATCAAAAGACACCGACTTCCACTCTACTGGCCATATGTTTTGACTCCAAGGTACTACCTTCATATTTCAGTAAATCTGAGTAACTCTTAAACCGGTTTCCCCAAATAAAGTGGGAAAACTTCAACCTACAATTTGGAATGTACTTAAGTGGTCGATGGGGGGAGGGGGGTTCATGAGAAAGAAAGTGTGTTTAGGAAGCTTATTTTTAGGCTTAAAAACAACGAACTACACCAGCAAAGGATTCTTCTGATAAATGCAGGGTCGGAAAGGAAACTTAATCAGGCCCTCTTCAGCCCTCCGCTTCCCTGCTCCTGCAGCAGGGCAAAGCCCCTTCCGACCGACTTCACCCTAAGGCGCGCTTCCACCGCCCCGACGCCCGGGCCCGAGCCCTCCCACTTTCCCCCTCCGACCCCAAGTGCGTGGGCGCCCGAGGGGGAGAGGTGAGGAATTAGGGATCCCACACAGCAGCCGTCCCTCGCCCCCTCTCTCAGTTCCCGTTTGCACGAGTTGCGCGGTCTCCAGTCTTCCTCCGGCTGCGTGTGGAGGCGAGGACGGGGGGAAGGAGGGAAGCCGCTGCCACCCAGGCGGAAGAGAGGCGAGCG